GTGTACCAAAACTCATACCCCTTCAATTGTTAGGAAAAGTGTAAGGAGTGCCTTTAGATGAAGGACGAACTAACCAAGTCTATTGCACCAAGCGTTTAGCTCTTCATAATGAGTGCTAACTTTTGATGAATACAGAATAACAGCACAAAAAAATAGCACTGGAGATAGAGTTCAGGCCAGGCTCAGAATCTTTTGAGGAGGGCCTTTTAATGTGTCAAGGACCCAATGGCATGAGCTTGAAGATTTTCAGACCAAGAGATCACTGCTGATAGGGTCTTGCTCCCTCCTGTCCAGTAGCTATTCCTCTGTTCAGTCCAGTGAGGTGGATTTGGCTAATGTATCTTTCAGAAAAGTCTGAGTCCAGCTGGTACATATTTATAATGCCTGGGGGTTGCTCTGACACCTGACCACTTCATCTGAGAGTGAGGACGACACAGACTGACACTCCAAAAAGCTGTGCTTTCATAAGCTGTAAGGAAAATAGATGCACTCCAGAGCTGGAGGTAGGTTGCATGTTTGGAAAGCAAAGGAAGAAAGGTCAGGACTGGAATGCTTGGCATGGAGTCTGTACAGAAAATGCTCCCTCCACATCTTCGCTGTTACTCTCTCTGCAAGCTTGAATTCATAAGAATAAACTCAATTAGAAATACAGTGTCTGAGGTCAGATCTTAGCAAGATCTCATCCTGAAAGCTCAAGCCTCTTGAGCTCAGGCTCGTTTTATGTCTTTGAAGCTTAGTCAGTTACCATCCATCATCAGAAAATGACCCTGTGCACGTCCTCAGTGTGATGCTAATGCGGAAGAAAACACAATAGTGAAAGCCTCCATTTGAAAGGCAAGGGCAGTAATTGCTTGTCAGCTACTATATATGGAAGGAGAGCTCATTTCTTTTTGAAACCTTGACATGTAAATGCAGTGTGGGCCAAGACATGCCCTGTGTATTTCTGAATAGATTCCCCAGAGCAGTGGGAGTTGAGTGGCAGTTTGCATTTGAACTGGCAAGGAGAAGTAAAAATAGTTGCAACTTTATGCATCCACCATGTGCCTACACTTTCATGATTATATTATGTTCAATATGTTAAGAAGGGATAATAACTGTCAGGGAGGACCAAGAGTGGGCTGCTCCTCAAGAGAAAGAGCCAAAGTGACAGCAAGGCAGGCAAGCAGTATCCTCACCAACAGCATGCAGTCCCGTGGTGCACAAGCAAGAACAGGAAAGCAGGTCTACAATGGTGATCAAGTTTGGCTAAAGTCCAATGATTACCAACTAGTTTGTAGGGATGAGGCAAATCTGAGGCCAAGCCAAAAAGTCAAGTCATCAAGGCAAGGTGAGAATCAGCAAGGTTCAAGGCTGAGCACAGGCTTACTTGCAAGGCAAGTACTAAGGCCAAGGGCCTGAGCATAAATACACCTCCCAAGCAAACAGAGGGAGGCTCTAATGAAGGTTCCTCACAGCTCCTTCTCACACAACTCCATCTCACACCTTAGCTGTTTTTCCAGCAGTCTGATCCCAGGTTACACAGCTATGCTGTATCAGGGCTGGCCTTAACTGCTAGCAACCAACCCTTGGGAGGGGGGAAGGGGTTGCAGAGCCCATGAATGCACAGAAGGCCCTGGCATTAATACCTCCTTGCAATGGGCTGGGAGGCCCAGAGTGCTGATATTTGCAAAGAGCCATACTGCTTCTCAGAGCAGGAGCCCAGATGAATGTCCTGTATAAGTGACTGTGTAACCACTGCTGTGGTCTGGCCCCTGCTATGATTGGTGTACGTACACAGTCCTTGCCCCAGGAAGCTCAATGTGAAAGGAGAAAAGAGAAGCCCATTCTGGGAGCAGAAGCAGTGTAGAAGCCCAGGGGCCCCCAGCAGGTGAATGACAGAGGTGGGAAGAGCTTGGTTTCTTGCCCCCTGGTCATCCAGAAGGAGGGGGCATTTTGAGGTCACATCAGTACATAGTGAACCATAGCTTAGGGACAGGAACTGAAGGTTGTGGGGAGATGCTCATTCAAACAAGAAAGCTGGAGAAGAGATAGGGTAAGGGTAAATGGGAGACTTTTTCTTGACTTTAGTTAAGACCCTAAATAGGGAACAGGGGCTGTAGGTCTGCAGCAGTTCTTTGCATGGGAAGGACTTCCTTCAAATCCCAGAATGCGGGCAGATCCTCCCCACTGCCATGCCAAGGCCTTCTTCCTCAGCAAGCAGAAACATTCAGCCTAGTTGTGCTCTTCCCCAACACTGGGACTGCAGGGGTGGCCTCGAGAGGCAGGCAGTGTGGAGCACTTGAGGCCACTGAAAACTGATTTCTCTATGAGAAGCAAACATATTCCTTTTTGTTTGTATGGAGTGATTCACCACTCAGCCCCAGGGCTTGGGCCTCAGAGGGAGAATGGAAGTCCACTCTCCTGGCAAAGTCCTTGGAGATAGCAGCCTGACATGTGGGGGCTGGATCTGAGAGCCTTTGCTTCACAGACAGCAGTGCTTCCACCACTCGTGCTGGCCTGACTCAAGGCCTTTGTTGCTGCTCTGTGAGGCCAAGTACACAGAAGCAGAAGGAAGAGAAAAAACAAGCAGAAGAGAGTGTGTCATACTGAGGCCTTCAGGGATCCCAGAGGTTGGTAAATGTGTCGTAGAGGAATTAGTGACAATACTGAGACCTGCTACCTGCTCTGGAAAAGTCAACTCATGACTCATCCAAGCAGAGACAATGTTGGGCATTTGTGTTCTTGCACCTCATCTCAGCAGTGATGTATCCAAAGGGACCAGGAACATTTATATCCACTCTTGGAGGTGACTCAGCTGCCCCCTCTCTTTCCAGGCCCAGCCTCCCCCTTGTCCATTCTGAGGAGCCAAAAGAGGCTCTGGCCAGATTGTGAAGCACAGATTGTGCCCTGGACAGCTGCCAGGTAGTGTCTAAATTACCTGGGTTCCTCACCTCTTTTTATGTGAATAAAGGCCCCTAAAGATTCCTCTTCAAGAAGCCTTGGCAAGAGATGGTGCCCATGAGGTGAGGGGAAAAGGGGTATACCCAAAGTGCACATTGACCTTGTCATGACTGGAGTGAAGGTATCCTTGGCTGGGCTTGCCTGGAAGACCAGTCAGTGGGATATGGAGTGGGGACAGGCACTGGCTGCTCCAAGCAATAAAACTCATTTCATCCTCCCTCTATCCTTTCCCTAGGGAGCTGGATAGGAAGGAAACCATCTCAGTCAAGGCAAAGTCAGCTGAGGCATTCCCAGCCCAGCAGAAAGACAAACTCCACTATCATCACTTTTGAGATGCCAGAGGATGCCAATCTGGAGCTGGACTGATCCTGAAGTCCTGTTTCACAGAGGGAATCATCAGGGTTGGCAGGGTTTCCTGGACTATCCACCATGCTCCCCCTTCTCCTGCATGCTGGAGCTATCCTGCTGGCTCAGGAGCCTCAGCACCAGGAAAGGAAATGGCAAGACCCCCCACTCCCCAAGCACAGCTTGCTGAACATCACCAAGGTGAAGTTCCTAGAATGCTTCCTACTAGCCCATCCTCTTTCTTGGGCTGGGTGAAGCAAAAGCAATGTGACTCACGATGCCATAGGATATGGTACCAAAGACTAAAATTACCTAATCAGGGTTAAAGTTCTCTGATGCTCTGCATAATAAACATTTTTGTGTGTGTTAATAGGCTGTCTTCTCCTCAGAGAATTGCAGGGCTTGGGTTGTAGGGATTTTATTGTTTGTTTGTTTTTGCATTTGTTTGTAAGATTTTTTTTTCTCTTGGCAAGGAAAAGAGATGATTAAAGTATTGGATAAAACTACAGCCTGTTTTGCCTCTTTTGATGGAAAATCTCCAGCACACCGAAATGTTGTTATTGGTATAATCTGGACTCTGTTAACATACTGAAGAAGCCTGTTATTCCATCAGTGAGGGCAGGAGCTAGCAATGCGAGTACTCTCTGCTCTGTGAGCTGCCCCATGGAGCTGCTCTGCCCCAGCATCAATGGTGGGATTTCCTCTGAATTCACCTTGTGCCCTGGAGTGGCCAGATGTGCCTATTGCCAGGGTGCAGGCCAGAGTGATGGGACATGTCATGCATTCATGTGGTGGGGAGGCCTCTGATACAGAGCACGGCTGTATGGAGAGGCACAGGTCAGCTCCAGATCCCCTATGATGCTCTCATCTGTAGACCTGCTACCTCCTCCCTTAAGCACTCTGCAAGCAGATGGGGACAAACTTGTGCTAGCAACAACCTCTCTCTTCAGCAGTGACTTGGGAAGGCATTGCTGGCTTGTTAACCCCATAATTAGCAATTACTTGGCACTTGGCATGCCAAGCACCATGGGCTGCCAGATGGCAAAGGCATGAATGACATTAAATCTGAATTAGATCATTGTTTCTGCACATGCAGTTTCCAGCTGCTTGATCCAGGAGAGGATGTGGGTGCCAGAGCTGCTTGCTCCCCTCTCTGTCATTGCTCGCATATGTGGCATCTGTTAGTGACTGCAAGCTTCTCTGGTCCTACACATCTGCAGAGACCCAAGTGAAGCACAGAGTCCATCATGCCTCTCTGCTCCTGCTCTGCCCATCTCCTACCACTGTATCTTCCCCAGTATGCCCACCATGAGCTGCCAGGAGCTGCACTGGGAGTTCTTCTCAGGTATTTTTTACTCGCTTGTCCCAAGGACACATGACACTGAAGCCCATGGGACCCTCCAGTTTGGAGGGCTGCCACTCCTGATCCTTATCCTGAGAGCACTGCAGGCCCGCCTGGGGATGAGATACAGGAGGGGGACATTTGGGGGCCAAGAGGAGAGATGTGGCAGTCAGATCTCTTAAGAGCTCCATCAAGCAAAGTGCCACATGTAGAAGACATTTGATGTGCCAGAAACCATCTATAAACGGTACCACTGAGGCCTGGTGAGGAAAAAAAAGACTGATATCAGTGATTACATAAATTAAAACAGTAGAGTGTTTTTTCTCTTGGCCTTAAAAATTATTAACCCAGAGAGACAGTTTACTGCCTTTCCAAAGATTTTTCAGCCTGGCCCAAAAGAGAAATGTTATGCCAACAGCCAGAAAGGTGCAGGTTATATATCTTATTGCAGCAGCAGGAGCTGGTCTGTAGTCCTGCAATACCAGGAACTCCAAAATCCAGCCTTACTTTTCAGGATCTTGTTTCTTTTCACTTTAACCACCCTGCTCTGACACAACCTGAGATGCCTCACTGCAAAGGTCCCAGGCAGGGGAAAATATCTAAAAAGCTTAACTTCCAACAGACATTTATTTGTTTGGGTTGAAATAAATGCACATGAAAGAGCGTTGCTCCTGTGTGCTGCATACCTTTGCTGTCAGTTAAAATACAGGCCAAATATTTTTGCATGACGAGGACAGCAGCCTGTCTCCTTCTCCATGACCAGCTACACAAATACAACCAGCAAACACAGTACAGAACAGGTCAGGACTCTCCCTATCTCCTCCCCAGCCATCCTTTCTGTCCACTCAAGCATTGCTCCAGCAGCTGAAATCTTGTAGGGTAGAGGTAAGGATCACCTTGGAGAGCAAGCTTTGAATTAAAGGCCTTTCCTTGCTTTCAGCTCCCTCTCATCCCAATCTAAGCAAACCAGCTTAGTTATTCATTCTCCCCAATAAGATCCTGGGGAAGGCAAGGACAGCAGGGGTCTTTTAGGTCTCCAACCACTGGTCTTTGCAGATCAAAGCAAACATCCGTATTGCACCACATGGGTGACTGCAGAGTGATGGAGAAAAGCAGTCACTGGACAGTGTCTAGAAGAGCAGGCAGTAAAAGTGGCCCAATCTGTCCCATCAGCTGCAGGCCGGATGCTACCAATCATGGCCTGTGACACTACTCACCACTCCTGCTTGGGCAACAGTTCCAAGTGTGCTCTACAATGTGGAGGCACATCTCTCGGTTAGATGGGTTAGCAAAGCAGAGGGGATCTCTCTGTGACTTAATTTACTTCTGCTATCTACAGCACTTTCCAACCTTCCCTCCAGCCTGAAGAGAAGCCACTCCAAAGGAGAGGACCAGAACCAGCAAGCAGTGGCTGTGAGATGCTGTAGGTCGTTAGTAATGAGCAACACAAAATGAAAGCAGGCTCCAGACTGAGACCACTGAAGTCAGTTCAGAAGTGATACGAACTACAGCAGGGTCAAGTTTGCTGGAGATGACCAGGTACCATGTTAGCCAATTTGGGCCTCACATCTGGTCCTGTGAGTGTGCAGAGGGATTGTTTTAGAGTTTGTGGACTTTTCCTGACTGTTGATAAAAACCATTTGGGGAAGAGATTGCTCAGGAAGGAAAAGTAAATGAGAAACCCCTTGCAAAAGTTAGAAAGTGGGTCCCACACACTGGGTCTTACAGCAGTGCTGATAAATAAATGCAGGAGGAACTCAGACCTACTTACAGTGTCGCACAAAGGAAAGATCCCACCTGTGCTGCGTTTTATGAGGATGAACGTGTTATAGCAGCAGACACAATGAAAAGAGCCACGTGGGATATGACCAGCTCATCTGCATAGGCACACTGGACAGTGACCCAGGCAGGAACACATCACTACAGTGAGTTGCAGCAGGACTGAGCTGATGGCCTCAGCATTTTTGCCAAAGGGTAATCAGAGCTCTTGAGAAGCCACCCACATCGGCGGCCACCCCAGGCCGCCCAGTGAAACCATACTATCCTAAAGGACAGAAGACTATGCAGTGCAGGAGCTTCACAGACAGCTAGAGAGCCCCTGTCCTGCCAAAATGGGCATTAGCAGCTCTAGCTGTGCCATTGCGACACAGGTGAGTGTTCACAAGGGCCAGCATGAACTGCAACACTGGGCGACCTTGGAGCATTGTGCATCTTTCACATAGCGCTTCATGTCTAGCTCATGGCGCAAAGTCCAGAGGTGCTGGCTGGGGAACTGTAGGGCAAGACACTCTTTGATAGTCAGAGCGTCTCTCATGTGCTCTTTCCAGCTTTCCTTGCCACACTTTTAGTCTCCTGTTTGGTTTTCATTTCCCTCTGCACTTTGTCCCATTCTTCTCCTGAATTCCTCTCATTTTCCCTTTTACTCTAATTTTCCCTAAATCTAGTAGCAGTGAGGTGGGGAAATCAATTCATCCAGCCACACTTCAACACAGCAGGTCCGTGCTCAGGTAGTAACTTTACAAGAAATAACGCTTCATTCAGCCGCTTGTGGAGACTGTCCTTTCCCGTTTCCGCAGCTCTACTCAGAACCATCCAGCACCTTGCATTAAAACTGATGCAAACACAACAAAATGCAAAACAGAGACACTCCCCACAACGAGTCCTTTGGAATCAGCCCATAGAAAAGAGACCCAACAAGATGGTACAAGGGCCAAGGATGAGAGCTCATGCAAGGCCACAGCATTTTTTAGATGTTGGAGCACAGTGTTCTCTGAACATTAGCTCCCAGTGCTTGTTTTATTACTCTGTTCAGGTAAAGAATTGCACCAGTCCTCTTTGTCATGGACTTGCTTGCCGCTGCTGCACATGCCTCTTCCAAGCTGAGCTTGGGTGGAATTCGGTGTTTGTTGGTGTTATGAAGGCGACGACTGTTGATGCGGCACCAAGAAAACATGCCATCATCCAAGCTTGCACCAGCCTGCTTGGAAAGTCTCTTCGGTGTTGGTGCTGCAGTGGGAAGCATGAACAATGACGGGAAGTCAAAACTCTCGGAAGAGAGCAAGTTGTGGACTCTGTCTGGAGACCTGGTGAAGTAAGGCAAGAGAGAGGAAACCAGGGGTTGTGACCATGGGATACCCTCAGCACATGCCCTCCCCAATAGCTGCAGAACTGATCCTGCTTTACAGAGTGCCCAGTGCCAATGTCACTAACCCTTGGATGTCAGGCCACCTGCCACAATGGAAGAGACACCAGCAATATTAAAGGATGAGATGTATCCTCCCCTGGAGACACTACAATCCACTGGACCTATATTAACATCATCTTCCTCTTACACAGCGCTTATCACATGTGTTGTCAGTAAGGACCCAGCTCTCAGCTTTGGCCATGCTCATCACCTACTGGGTGAAGCCCAGGCACTGAGTAAGGTGGGAGCTCAGTGGGCAAGTAGTTTCAATTCCTACCCTCCTTGCCAGCTGCCTCCTGATGAGCTGTAAGGTCTGCACTCAGGTTTGTGATGCTGGAGCCTAGAATGCCAGTTCAAGCATATCAAAGCATATCCTTGTAGATACAATTTTATCTCAGCTGCAGATTGCTTCATCTTTGTCCACGCTGCCTTCTGGCAGGAGTGACCTCAGCTCACCAGCTATCACCAGTACAGCTTTTGCTCCAGCTCCCACTAAGATGTTTAGGCCTTGCTTGACTTGTCTGCACTCCACAGACACCGATTTTGGCAGAATTTTGCATGGAGCAGTGTAGCATATGAATATGAGGGTAAGGAGGCAGCTTGAGCCAGGCAGGGCTGATCTTGTGGGGATCCAACCATCTACCTCTGTGAGCACACTGGTTTTAGCCTCCTCCTGGGCCGAGGAGAGGGAGTCCACACCAGACTGCAATGGCAAGAAGCATTTCTTTACTGGTCTGCCACTACCTGAGATTTTTACAAAGTCAAGTGACAATGTTCATTTTACGCTTTCAGGAAAGAGTTTTTGCCCTGAGCTGTTAGCAAATGAACAGCAGTGCAACTAGTTGCTCCTCAGCAGCTGAGCAGTGAAAGGAGAGTCCTGTACAACTGTCATAGCTTGGCCCTTAGTAAACTCTGTTTGGAAAATAAGGAACATATCACTTTTACAGTTAGGCAGGCATGATTGTAAGGTAATGTCGCAGATATCAGTGACTTAACTGTAACCTGCTAAGAAGAAATAGATTGAGAGGGGCAGGAAGAAGGCATATGAGGACCTTCAAGGATAGATACGCCTGAAGATTTCTCAAATTTTCAGAGAAGATGCTACAAGAAGACAAAGGACATCAGTGGTGTAACTCCATGAGTACCAGACCAGGCATTTACACCAGCAATGCATTTGATCTACAACTCCCTTCTCTTCATGGTTGCAGCAAGATGTCTTGGTGCCCACAGTACCATCCCTCAGTGTGCCTGCCCCCGCTCCTCCCTGACTTCCATCTTTCTTCCCTCTCCACCCAGCTCCTTTCCATCTCCTCAGCCTCCTTCCAGCCACAACTGCAGCCCTACTCTCTCAGGAATCAGCGGGGCTCTGGAACTTTTGTCCTGCTGACACCCCCACGGAGCAGAGTTGTAGCCTGGTGGTCTCTTGTGCCCCATTTCTGCTGTGCCAAGAGCCATACATCTCCCATCCACCCTCACTCACCCACCCACACAGGAACTTGGGAGTTTCAGTACCCTGAGGAAGCCTCTCTTGCCCAGCCTGGCTTCCTAGGATGTGTATGTTACCGTGATCATGTTCTGTGCAGAGGAGCTTGGGGCAGGCCTACATGATGGAACAAGTGAAACCACAGCACTCTTTGAGCAGAGTGAGGCCCGTTTTGGTCATATACGGCGCGGAGGTTTGCTGCCCCCTGGAAGTCATTTTCTTCTCTTTGACAGGAGCTACGGAAAGAGGCATCATTAACTTCAGGGTCAGTGTCTTCTTGGTGACAAGGGCACAGACCCATGGCCCCTCCTTACCCCCATAGCTGGGCAGGAGCTCCTGCCATCATGAGGCCTATCACTGGGTGTGCTTCCCAGGCATCCATAAGGCAGGACACGCACACAGGGACCCTGGACCGGACATGCCTCCCACTGTACTAGAGGTGTGTTCCTCCAGAAAAGATGGAGGCACAGGGAAGAGGAAGTCCTGCTTCAGAGGCCAGGACTAGAGGAGGAGGGGATGGTATACTACAACTTGTGACCTCAGTTAACAGTGTGATGAGACATAAGGAGCTGGTTGGGAAGGGTCAGATGAAGTACATGAGACATGAAAGGACACCTACCCATCCCAGTTCTCATAGGACATACTGGGTGGAAATGCAAGAGAGAAATGGAAGCACAGCATCCATACCAATCTGGTATGTTTCCACAACATGATCTCAAGCACGAGCACCACCACCCCTGCCCCCAGTTGCCATTTTCTCCCACCCTCCTCCAGTAGCAGATGCCTCCAGCAAAAAAAGCCTGCACAGAGCAATGAAATTTGGGGGGCAGACAATGTAGTGAAACGGAGAAACTGCCAGAGAGATTCTAGGCAAGAAATAAAACTCATTAACCACCTACTTGCTTTCTGGAGGTAGCTTTTGGAGAGCTTGCTTTGCAGGAATTCTGCCATTTCCTTGTCTTCTTCCCTTTCCCTGTGATAAAGGAGATCGGTTACCACTCGGGAAAGGAATGGCAAGGCATCCAGAAGCATCCAGTGAGGCATGATAGCACAGACTGGAAGCCAGAAGAGCAACTTCTGGCTAAGCCACCTTGTTCTGTGACTGTGTATCCACCACAGTGCTCTTTGGAGAGATGGCAATTGAGCATTCTGTCTGCAACAGTGAAAGCCCCCTGGAAAGCCCTCTGGAGCTAATAGCAGCTGCAAGAGAAGTTCCTGCTCCCTTGGTGGAAGCAAAGCAGCTTCCTTGGAGAAAGAGGTTTTAACATATGCTCACAAGTGAGCCATATTTTGCAGACGGATCCAATACAGTAGGTGCTAAGTGGCTATTTTCTCACCCCCTCCTCATAAAATCCTGGTTTGTAAACTTTTCTCAGGCCACACCCAGCTGCTCAAATAGCCATGCCCATCTCTCTCTCCATTGTCTATCTCAAGAGTCAATAATTGCCTTAGCCTCTTCAACTCCTGTTTCTAGAGTCACATGAATATGTCACAAGCTCAGCTCTTCTCTGGGAGGACGTGCCTAGTCTACAGTGTTCAGAAAGCTACAAGGCATGACCTGAGTGTGACCAGCACAGCAATCTCTGCCTGCATCTGCAGACAGTCTGGAACAGTGGGTCGGGACTGCTCAGTACCTCACTGTACAGCACTGATTCCAAGACTTGCTTTGGGAGCACCCCGGGAGACCCTGGGGTGGCAGGGAGGGCAGCATGCACAAAGTTTGTTCACTCAAGCAAGAATTACCCAGGGAACATGACAGACCCTCTTTACTACTACCCTTTGTTCCTGCTTCAAGGAGGCCAAGGGCATGCCATTTGACATGCACCTGGAGTATGACCGCTTTGGATGGTGATCCAGATTTAAAAATGGACTGTGCAGGTAATGCCTTTGGGAGCACATGGAGTTCTGTTCTCCAACCTACTATACACACTGTATACGCCAAGAATCAGGTCAGCTGACCCAGACAGGCAATAATTGCTCTGGAAAAAAGGACTAATTTGCACCAAGCTACCTGAGCCTCTCAAATTCCACATCATCCACCAGGAAATCCCGTGTTTCCACCAGCTTGTGTATCTGCTGCACCAGCTCCTCTTCCCTCTGCTTCTCCTCATTGGACTTCTCGGTCTCTGCAGCACAGGGAATACATTTAACACATTGACAGGGGCCATCCCCCCAAGCTGAGGCAAGGCTGGCTCTGATTCTGCTCCATATAGGAACGGATGTGATAGAAGCAGTAAAAGCCAAGCCAATCACCTGGATCAAGACACAGGCCATTAAGTAAGCAACATCCTTGTCCAAATCAGCCTGGCTGGGAGAGGATAGCCCAAGTGTGTCCAAACTTTGGATTTTAAACTGCTCCCCAAAATTTTCAAGGGGCTGAGCAGTGCAAGATGCAACTGTGAGCCTCAGAGAATGGGAACCTCAGGAAGGTGGCCTCACCAGTAGGAAAGACCATGACTCCTCAAGAGTCTTCATCCTCCACTGCTGGGTGTCTGGTCCCAGGGAGATCAGAGATGTCAATTCAGATGTCATCCATCAGCTGGGACTTGCTTATCCTGCAATTCCCATGCCAGTACACCCAGCCACACAGTCTCAGCACAGACGTGAGCTATGCAAGGCTTGAGAGATCCTATTTGGCTGCTTCTGAGCTGGGTTCTCCATATGGCTGCAAACCCAGCCATGGATTCAGGTGCCTAACAAAGGAATTGGAAGGAATTGTCAAAAATGCTCAGGTGTTTTGGGAACACGATACACCATTTACCCATACATACAGACATGAAGACTGGTA